TCCTGAGGATATCAATGCTGTTGATGCAATGGGCCGGACTCCACTAGCTTGGGCAGCAGCAAGAGAGGACACTCGAGCGATCGTCACTCTGTTAAGTCAGGGAGCTGACCCCAATATCATGGATGTGCAACACTCAGGCCCCTTATCAAATGCAGCGGCTCAAGGTCATACTGTCAGTGTTCGTCTTCTCCTAGAAGCCGGTGCATATCCCGATACCGCCAAGTTCACCGGAGTGAGAAAAGGGAGCCCTCTCAACTGTGCCGCACGGAATTCTCGAAGTGTCGTATTGCTCAAGAGTCTCTTAGACTTTGGAGCAGAGGTAGATGTCTCTGGGACAGATGGCAAAACTGCCCTCCTCCAAGCAGCACGCATCGACAATCCCAGTTTTGCTATGCTCTTGCTGGAATATGGAGCGGATATCAACGCCACTGCTGCCGATGACTCGACCCCTCTTACGACTGCAATTACCTATAATAGCCACAATGTCCTTCGGCTGATCCTTGATCATTGGCATGAGTACTCGTCTTGTCCCCGTCTCAAGGGACCGCATCTTTTGCAGATTGTCGCGCTGTATGCTGATTTGGAGACCATTAACATCCTCACGGGAACTGACCATTTCCGGGCAAAGTATGACAATCGATATACTCATGGGGATTTGACTGATTACCTGCGCCAGCGGCCCGATTCCACAGAAAAGTTGGCGGCTGCGTTCGATGAGCTGCTGACCATCATTAATCAGCGACCAGCTGTGGATGAGTCGCTGGACAGCCTGATGGAGGCTGGATTTTTTTCTTGTTTACCTTCCCCAGTCAACTCGCGACAGGAAGATATGCTCCAAGAGCCCGGCAGTCCTGCCAGCTCGGATAAGAGCTTTGCAGATGCGTTGGAGTACCTGTCTATATCCTCAGATAGCCGGATGAAGGCATGAAGGGTACTCCGTCAAGGATATCCTCCATCAAGGATATTCCTCCTTGATTATTGGCTCGTCGGTTACGTTGTAGTCTATCTGATTTACCTGAGGATCATGTATATTGGTAGAAGCTTCCGTCATCATATGGATCACAGAAGGACATTAGTCATAGGTTGCTACTTTGGGGTTGTTGGGGCAAGCAGGTGCTTTTAAGGAACGGTTGAAACAGTTTTAGTTATAGAGGTCTTACATGATAATTTCTTCCTAGTCTACCATGCTTCATCTCTAATTCCTGCAAAGGGCTGCCATGATCACACCAGATAGATAGTCTGCGGCTCACAATCATCGAAGACCGGGGTGAGGCCAAAATCATAAAAATGTGCGTAGAAGCCAATCCGTTTGAACTGCAACCTCGTCTGATTCGGACACTTCAGCAGCACCAACCCGGCAGACTGGACCCCATCTTCGTACTGAACAGGCTCCGACCATACTTTCCCATCACCTCTCGATACGATCATCAGGTAGACTTCCTGTTCCTCAAGATAGTACCCTGCATGATCCAGGAATATAGTCTCACTATGACTCTCTTTAGTACCGTCAGCCACATGGACATATCGCAGTTGAAACTTCTTATTTTCCTCCTCGGGATCACGGTTCTTCAGTCCAGGGAAAGCCCGCAGCATGCCTTCTGGTATTGGCTGAAAGCGAGCTTCCATCCGGGCCGCTCTAAGCTTCGCTCTGAGTTTCACATATCCCCGGTCCCCTTGGTCGACTGCCAGTTGCCCATAATTGTCTCCCTCATACTGCGGGATTATATCGTGACCGAGAACCTCAATTTCCGGTCTCGGGTTATAGAGATTCTTTGCAAGAAACTCAACCGCCCCATCATTGGCACACCACGACCATGTCGGTGCGCGATAATGTTCCGTTGGGATCATTGGCCGACGTTCTCTTTCCCCGAACCACCGATCCATCCCAGGACTCATCGCGTTACGGGTGGCCCAAAGAAGTCCCGAGGCCAGATCCTGGACCCATAACCCGACAAGGTACTCATCGTTCAAAGCCAAAGCATGAGTGCGCGCGATGCCGGCAACCGCTGGTAACTTGTCGCTTGGGACGGTGAGATCGCGACAGGTGTAGTCTTCCACGATTTTGTACCAGGCTTTGTATAATTCTGCTTTTTCGGGACCTTCTGCGCCCGTCGAAGATGATGTTCCGCCGATCTCTAGCTTATCCAGTGACTTGTGGCGTCGGGGGCGTTTGGCCAGCTCGACATCGCGCCCATAATCTTTTGGTGAGGGGCAGGTAAATAAACCTAGACCGAGCATATCAGTTACTCCGATGTAGAGCTTTCGTGGTGATAGGAGTCGTTCCTGTAGGGTCCAGCCGCGAGTATTCCATACTGACGAGTCCAGTTCGTCTTCGGCGGCTAGGTAGGGGTTCCAGAAAAGGTGGTCCAGTTCACCTGTGTAAGATGAGGGTTCGATGAAGAATGAGCCGTTGACTCCAGGGTGGCTGTCGATGGAGTATGTAATGGGAATCAGAGATTCAGAGTCACATACAGGTCGATCAAAGACTTTCTGAAGGGGCGTATCCGTGGCAGTCAAGTAAATTGTCAGGTATGATGACATGTAGATGCTGTGCATTTTGGTCGACTCCGAGGCCCAGTCGCGTCGGGACTGGTCCTGTTGGATCTCAAGAAGACCCTTCTCTTTAGTTCTTGTTTCTTTCTGGATGATGCAGAGGCTGTCAATCCACAAATAGGAAATGCCCAATACGCAGCATATGTCAACGACGTCTCTGAAACCAGGCGGCAGAGTCGCCGTGGGGTCAGCTGCTGAGAATGGCGATAGTGGGATGTCCTGGTAATGCGCTTGGAGATTGCTGGGAGTTGTGGCGAGGAACTCGTCGGAGCCCCAGCGGTAGCTGAGTGCAGCATACTTTGGGACGTTGGAGGCATTTTGACAGTTTGAACCATGACTATTCAGATCTTTGGTTTCCACTAAGCGTAGCTTTTTCCCTTCCTGGCTTTGGGTGATTTCGATAAGCCGGAGAGGCAACCTGTCGGCTATGGACTCCCCATGGTGGATAACGCTGGAGGCATGATTATGGTGCTGGTCGCATTCAGTCAAATGGTCTCGGATTGTCTTTGTGTTTTCAGTGGATAGCCTATCTTGATCCGGATGGGGATATGCGATGCCTAGATAGCGTGCAAGGGGGTCATCTAATCGCAGTTAGCATACAGACTATCCCAGTTGGAAGCCTATATACTTCAGACCATGGTAAGGGAAAATGACGATAACCTACCAGAATGGGCACATAGCTTGAAATAAATTAGGCCATCAGGCCCAGTCATGTCGCCCGCAAATCGATCCTGTCCTGGTCTGAGAAGATCCCATTCAATTATGATTGCGGCGAATTTACTTCTCTCGTTGTCCGAGGCTCTGAATTCTGCCATCAGTGAAACCTTGACCACCTTGATTGTGGAGTATTTACGATCGTGCTCTTCCGGGGACCAGCTGCGAAGACGACGTTCGCTAATGCCATCCAGCAGCGATCTCCGGAGCGCTGGGCAGAACGAGCATCCTTCCTCGCCTGACGCCCTAAGAGCCGGTAATTCGGGGAGGTCATCCCGACAGTCGAATTCGATAGGAATGGAATGTTGCCCAGCTGGGAATTGTAGGTGGGGTCTGCTGGTTTCTGATCCAACTTCAGTGAAGCCGTATCTCGCTAGGGACTCGGCGCTCAAGTATAGAAATTTGCATCTGCTGCAAAGGGTGGATGGCATTTTCCATAGGAGGAAATCGACACCTGACTTGTTTCAAGAGGATTGATGTGATAAACATCATGAACGACGTTCACTTTCTGCACCAGATGAGGAGAGGTGGGGTAAATCGATAATTAGTCTCCGAAAGACGATTTCGACAATGATCTACTCTTCAGGGAAGACACGTGGCGGGCGTGTGTGGCAGCAGATGGGCTGATGCAGCTTGTTGCCTTCGACTTAGGCCTTGGTGTATCTGAGGTTCGACTAACAGACAGACATATTGAATTATCTTGTGTTGCGTGTGAAATAGACATGTGCTATTGATTCACATGTGCATAAAGTGGTCGTGCATTGCACATATTAATAATTATAGTTATGCACGACACTCTATGCTATAATGTTTCAAATCGCCGAGTGACTGCGCCATTCTCATGCACTGTCCAACTGCACCCGAACATGGCAATTCCATTCCCAGCATATCTGCCAAGCCACTGTGGCAGAGATTATTGACTCTCGTAATAGTGGAATGGTGGGTGATAAGTTAGTGCCATAAATAGCACAATTGACGGAGAATTTCCTGTAGTCTAGTGCTTACCTTGTTATCCCTGCTAGTAAGCATCCCGACCGGGCTTGCAGAACAGAGTTTGCTTTCACTTTGACAAAAGCCTAAACACGACCTACGCCTTTAAGAGCCCCCCTGTGCTCTAATGATTTCTTCGCATATGGTCGGAATTCACTATACTAAATACCAATGGACGACTTAGTTGAATGGGACTCCGGAACGCCGGATCTGCCTGAGCAACGATCGGCAAAAATCTTCTCGAGCCTACGAAAAAGATGCCAAAAGGAGCCTAGCACGTGAGTAATCGAAGCCCAAAACGAACCTTGCGAGTCGACTAAAGTAGATTACCATTGGTTAAGCTCCACTAAATCGGTGGGCCCAGAGAGGCTTAGCCAGGAAAAAGCATGTTTAGCTTCTTCTCGATAGGGTCTGTCTGCCTGGCCGGACCCCGATCCATGCCCAGTCAACCCGACAATCAACGGAACTCAGGGGACCTCTCGAGGGGTTCAGCCCTACTAGGCCCATTGTTCACCCACTTGACTTGCAACTCATTAGCAATGATCTTTGCATTTTGCCAGTGGTCTCATGTACCCCTTATTTTCCCGGCCCCCGATTAGCGGCGCCCGGCTTGATCCTAAACTGGGATCCACGTATGCACCGGTGCTAAAGATTCCTCCTAGTCGCTGATGTATTAATTTACACACCACTTAAAAAACATGCCATCGCCCCCGGTCATGACGCGAGGCCTATCCGGTTCCGGCCTTGCATGTTTGCCCGCTGCCAACGTCATCCGTGCAGGCAGAAGCAATCCTCTGCACGGAACTTGCTCGATTTATTCCCGCACACTACTCATGCTCCCTCAGTTGAAGTCTTCGTTGCACAATGACTTGGGATGAGTCCAGAAAGCTGCTCTCGCACAATATGAGCCAATTTGCAGCTATCCGGAGCCAGCGAGGCTTTCGGATTGTCTTCGCGGCTATCGCAGTCATATTTGCACTTTCCATCTTCATGCTGCTTCCGCCAGCATCAACGACGACCAAAGTTCTCGGATTCGGGCAGGGACAGAAGCCCACGACCCAGTCATCTTCAGCTGAGGCTATCACGATAGATACTAGTCTTATCACCGATCTATCCCAATACTTTGCGGACTATCCCATCCAGAAACCCTTCAAAGAGAAGTTCGGCGAGCTAGGCCGCCGCAACCGAGTTCTCCGCGACTGGCTCATTCAAGCCGAAACCTCCCAGGACTCTACCACCAAGTCCATCTTACGCAACGCGATTGAAGAAGTCGCCATTGCGCAATATCCTTTCCTGCAACCTCCCAAGCAGACTCAGTCCCACCAATCTAGATCTTCCCGTCACCCAGTACAAGACCTCCGCGCTTCCTTCGAGCCCGACTCTGCCGGTATCGTCATCCCAACCAGCGACCATACCCTCCGTTATGCCGCTCACCTTATTGCCTCGCTTCGCTCTGTCCTCAACTCTACTCTGCCTATTCAAGTTGTCTACGCAGGCGATGACGACCTCTCCCCTACGAACCGGAACCACCTGTTGACTTTGGCTGCCTCTGGCCCCGCCATCACCTTCCTCAACATCCTCACCGTCTTCGATGACACAACCCTCAAGTTGAAAACAGGCGGTTGGGCCATAAAACCCTTCGCGGCATTGGCCTCCCCTTTCGAGAAAGTTATCCTTGCAGATGCCGATGCTGTCTTCCTACAACCCCCGGAAGCACTCCTCCAGCATGACGCCTTCGTCAACAAAGGCGTGCTTCTTTTCCACGATCGTCTCCTTTGGAAGCACGCTTTCGAGGGCCGTCACGAGTGGTGGCGGGATCAGATACGCCGACCTAGTAAAGAGATGGACACCTCTCTTGTCTGGACGGAAGATTACGCCGAAGAAGCAGACTCGGGTCTCGTGGTGCTCGACAAAAGTAGGCCGGATACATTCATGGGACTGTTGCATATCTGCTGGCAGAATACGTACGATGTGCGCGAGGAAACTACGTATAAGATCACTTACGGGGATAAGGAGAGCTGGTGGTTGGGATTGGAGTTAGCTGGCGCCGAGTATGAGTTCTCGAAGCACTACGGAGGCATCGTCGGGTGGGAGAATGTTGATGATAAGGAAAGAGTAGGTGTATGTAGTTTTGTGATAGCGCATGTGGATGCTAAGGGGCGGTTGCTGTGGTATAATGGCAGTTTGTTGAAGAACAAGGGACAGGTTGGTATGGAGGATGTCTATGAGGTTCCGGATAAGTGGATGATTGATGCAGAGTGGGTTAAAGGGGCGAGGAAACAGGACCATAGTTGTATGGTCGGTGGTGAGGTCAGGGAGCTTACAAGGGACGAGTTGGATGTGCTGCAGAGGTCGATTGCTGCCGCAAGGCAGGTGGATACGCTGGTGCGTACAAGTTGACCTTATACATATAGTTATAGATTTACGTTGCTACTAGGCTATCTCGGAGTTTTTAATTCAGCGATATACCCACTGACTTTGCATGAAATTGTGCCTTCTTGCCGGCGTCGTCGTAACGATTGACCTGTCAAGTCTGCTGTTACTTTTGGCTGTAGTAGTGCTAACTCGGTCTCGTAATCACAATACATCCTATGCCGACGTGACTAAGTGAAGAAAGCACATATTGTGCAATTCATCCCGCTTACGCTCGATATCGATTAACAGAGGTAGTTAATTCATGTGCGTGAAGCCCAGGAGCTGACTTCCCATGTTAATAGACGAATTGATGTGAAGAGTTTGATTGCTCCATAACCTCATGATATTCATGGAAGAGCATGAAGCTGACTTGAGCTTCGTGAATAACCAGCGTCACCACAGCATAATATGCCGTATTGAATCAATTACATCCATCACGTCCTTGCAGCTTTAGTCAGTGATTAACTAATTTTGTTGCTCTATATAAAGCCCGTCATCCTCCCTCTTCGTCTCCCCTTCTCTTCTTCCTAACCACTCACACGGATCACAAATAAATATTACTCAGTGCCCAAAGATACCCTCAGAAAAATTTACTTCTCCATGGATTATCACTTATCATATATCTATTATCTACAAACCTTAGCCAACACTTACTCTCTGGCACTGCCTGCTTTCGCTGTTTGACACAGAAAAAGATCAGTTGCACTACCGACTTCAGTCGTCAACTGAGCCTTGTGATACCAAAGATATCTTGACACATCCCTCAGACGGCCCTTAATCTTGATTTCCCTCTCTCATTGTGTCTAAGACTTCAATATATGGGCAATATGCAGCGATACTCAGGGGTACCATGCATGGTATCCTTCACACACGCATTATATAATGTTCAAATGTGACAGATCCGGGTCACAAGGCAATAATCTGCAGATACTTGAGCTCATGATCTTTCCGAAAGATCGAATTGGAGTGGAGGCAGGTACGACCCTTCTTGGCTACCATCATGGACTCATCTGTACTGTTACAGTGTCTAAATACTGCTGAACAGATATTAAACGAATTAGGACACTCATTGCAACGCACAAATAGTGATACTGGGTTCCACAACAGACACATGAGTTTTCCTCATCTCATTTGGCTGATCGCCTTTATATACAGTGCGGGCACGACGCTGATGTCAGGGATATAATATGATCTGAAAGCAAGAAGAACGCGTGCACTATCCTTCCGACGCTTGAAAACGGTCGGCAATGCGGTACAGCTGCTGATCCATGACGAAGGTACCGAGCAGTTCGAGAAGAACGATTAGATTCATGTCGTCGAATGCGAGATTATATTGCCATGACTGGTACAATCATTATCCCTGTAACGGCCGACCATTATATAATCATCTGCCTCGACGAAATGGGATCTGTCGTTGGTCCGTCGGCGACGGCTCAAAAGAGATGGATCTCGCCGACAACAATTTATTCCTCATGCGTGTCTTGGGCGACTGGGTTTGACCTCCCATCTGCTCCGCTACAACAGACGCTAGTCCAGACCGGAACTTTCCGACAATACGTCCTATCAGGGTAACGTTTTATGTCTCAAGGACCGTGTATAGCTATATACCCACTAGCAGCAGCGAGTCACCATGTTAGGCGAAAAGGTCATTCGGTTGTTAAGGTCATTTGGTTTTGCCCTGCTGGGTCAAGACCTGATGAGTGAGACATGTCCCAGTATGTGCCTGTTTTGAAGCGCTACCTCGACCTAAAGGAAATAGAAAAAGGGTATTAAAACCTAATACTCTATTGCTGAGGCTGAGGTCCTTAACCAGGTCCCTCTAACCCTGTCATAATGCCCACTCTGGGAAATACCGTTGTACATGCAGCTTCTGCTGTTCAGACTTCGGAGCATTTCACTGCTGCAACATATACTTTCTATTGACACGTCCAATAATCTGGTGACTTTCACATCATGTTTTCAGTTCAATGAGAAGAAGGGGGGATTGAACAAGAACTTCAATGGCCTCATTCCTTCGGCGCTTGGCGACATGTGAAACCAAGCTCCCAGACCGGTATGTCTCGAGATGAGTGGCGTCGCCTGTCAGTACACCAGGCAAGATCTACCTGGAGGCTGCGGCTTGAGCAACCTCTTTGCACTCTTTGGTCATCTTCCGGAGTGCAGGACAGCAATCAGATTCAAGTGCAGATATGGGTTGTGGCCATTGTTGGGTTAATGGTAGCCTGGGTAGGTCTTCCCTCCATTTCGGTATGGCTCCTAGCAAAGTCACAACAGAGATCTGGCACGGTTTCTGAGAAGAAAAACCCTGAGGATATGTAACTATTGAGAGACCAATCATTGTGTTAGCTACGGACTCTAACAGGTGTTGATCCTCTTAGCTCTTGAAACGATTGTATTCAGTTTCACACTTCCCGCTCATCATCGACCGTGAAGCTTCAACCGCGCATGCTCCAGACACAGGACTGCCGGCTCTAAATCCCAAGGTTGATGCCGAATCCAGCAGCCAGATAACCTTCAGCGCGTAAAGCAGCGACGGAAGTTGCTGGAGGAGAGTGAGAAGCTAGATGCGAAGGAGGAGGGAAACGATCATTACCTCCTACATCGACTCGGCGCCATAAGCGACTCGGAAGAAAACAGCAGAGCGTACCATCACGCCTGCAATTCGACTGTGCTGAGAAAACAGTACCTTAACGTTCACAGTGTGGGCTGTGATAGACCGGAAGACTGTCGAATGGCTTAATGATATTACTCTCTTTGCTAGTAGCATTGAGGCAAATAAAAATCTGGATAATCGGCCTTTGGTTCTGCTCGAAGTCCAAGTGCCCGGACCGTCTTTTGGCGACAGTACCTACAGACTTGGACTCACTGGCAACGGAGACCGGGTGATTCACTTTGTGAAAATCTTCACGATAGACCACAAGTCCGGGCCCAGTCTGTTACTAATGGCTACATGCATTTGGACCTAGCTACATTTGGCGAGTGTAACCATGACGGTCTGTTCTTCAATAGTCCAGTCTTCTTAACAGATCATCCTACACAAATATCACAACTCCCTCCTATCTTCCTCATGCATGGCCACCTATCCAGCTTATGTGATAGAAAGGCAACATCAATGTCTCTAATATTCGGGTCTTTACTTCCTCATTGCACAACAGATCCTATGGGGAAGTTCATGGACACGTACACAAACTTACAGTAACACTTGCCGGTTGACCCAAGCAGCGCGTCTTTTCCTAGCCATGCAGCAGATCCAAGCCACTTCCGATGGATATCTAGCGTGGAGCAGCGATACCGTGTCTAAATCTCTCCGGAATACGCGTCAAAGCCTCCAGAAATAGCTCTGAAACGGAGATTGAGCCGGTGGTGCGCTTTTGCGGACTTACGTGATAGGTCGGCAAGGGGGAAAAGTTAAATGCATCTCACTGTCCATGTGCTCATCTCGATATATTTGACCCGCATAATGAAGAGTCTATTTGTTTGCGACAGCGAGAAGTTGCTTTATATGGAATACCTCAGCGAATATGAACGAGACACCTCCCCGATGCCCTCTTTCCTACGGTTCTGACCTATCGTCATTCTCGCGCGACTGTATCCCCCTACACCGTCCTTATTATAACACGTCGGCTGAACAAATATACCTGCTACCTGCTACTTTGTCATTCCCACCGTTCTCGATCGTGGCAACAATAAATGGTCGAATCAACGAGCAACACAGGCGAACTTTTGGGGTGCTGTGGAGAACTAGACAACCTCGTCAGCTTTGATAGCTTGACTGTTTTCCTGGTTATTTCGAGGTCACAGGTAACATGCTCGTCGAGTCAAAGGAGTTACACACATCTACTAACTCTTTTGAAGCCAAGCCATGGGACAATCTCCCCGACGGTCGACAACCGGATACAATGGCCAGGCAAGCATCATTCTCACTCGCTTTACCTATAAGATGAATGAAGAGGTCAATCATGGCCTTAATATCTTTTCTTGTCATCAACTTCCACAAGAATTGGCGCACAAAATGCCCCGACATCTCGATTTGCGCAACATAGGAGAGTTGCTCCTGGTAGACGGCAAATCCAAACGCGAAGTTGAATCCATGCTTGATTACCCCATGCTCAGAGAGCATATTTACGACACATATTATATATTTCACCAAATGCGTGTCTCTTCCTACTACAGACTATTTCTGAGACCGCAATGTGTCATAAGCAAGCGATGCAGTCATCCATAACTATGCCACAGGTCAGTTACTGATATACCAGCACAGGATGCGGATCTGGAATTACAATAAGTATACAACACATTTTATCGGACGGCTGATCGACGATGAGTTTTATGAATTCAAACACTGAATATCAGCACCTTGAGATAGGGTGTCTCTCCTGTATTAAAGAGATTAAAACTAGTCTCATGCTCGTTCAACTGCATCCACCAGATGGAGAAATAAACAGATAGGAGTCGCTGGGAAAGCTCAGCCTTCGTCTGTTCGGTCTGAACTTCCCCTCCGCTGAAACGACAAAGTATATGCACCTCCATTTATCCTGAGGCCTTGTATAGAAACGATCATCATCGACAGTCTTGGTTACTTTGATGAAGGATCTTTCAGTCAGAGATTTGATCATCCCATGACTGCTTCTGTCTTTATCAATACCTCTACAACACATAAACACTCCAAGTGTGATAAAGTGTGCAGCTTATTTACCAAAGCTTCCAATCCGGAACTTGACTAAAGCAGAGATTCAACAGCTGGGGAGGGACGATCAATTTCGAATTCTGTATAGTGAGAAAAAGCTGGTGTTGGGAACTTCAGAGACAGACAAGGGCCTACTAGTCCTCGGGGAGTATGACTTGCAGTACGCAAGCAAGCCCAACGAAGAAACATCGGACTAAGGGAAGTAAGAGGAGACACTCAAGCATAAAGACGATCCTCGAAAAGGATAGAAGAGAAGACATGGCACCCCGGCAGTGGCGGTTACCGAGTAAGGTTCGCTGCGCCAACGGTATGATGCGCGTACAATAAGAGCCTCGGGGACCATCTCTATGAGATAAAAATGCTCGAATCTCTCG